TAAAGTAAGAATAATAATAGAATCTGCCTTGGGGACTTGCTGGAAAGATTAAGTGAGATTCACGTAAAGTATTTAGCTTGTTGCCTGGCTTGTAAGTATTTAATAAATGTTAGTTATGATTATTTTCCTCTTCTTCCTTTTTCCCCACTCCTTTTTTTTTATACAGTGTAAAGAATTTTTTTTTACTAGGGCATTAGGCAAAATTATTTAAAGTCAATAAATTTTTATTCAAGGAATTTCGTATGTGATTCCTTCCACTGTCAGTCAAGGTAACCTTAGTTCCTCAAAAGCTGGAACCTTTAAAGAGGTATCTTCAAGATAGCCCTTTTTAATAGAACAGATCCTCAATCCACCATTGTCCTGTCAGCCCACAGTTCTTACATTTTGGCGGCTTTTATCTCCACTTGAATATGGATATACTGATGAAAACTTAACAAATTTCCCACCAAGAATTTTTAGGTTCTAATTTCTTCAAGCAAGTTACTTCAGGGTCATTTTCAGAGTAGACGGATCTGCCTGGTTCTCAATATGATACACTAAAAGAAGCAGCATTAGTTGCTATTGAAGACTATTAAACTGAGCAGTATGAGAAAACTATAGAAATACCAGGTTTAACATGCAGAAAGCCAAGAAAACCAATTCCAGATACTGAATTTCTATGGCATTGACCTTTGAACACCTCAGCAGGAATAAACTGCTGAGTGCAGATACCGTGCTGTGCAGTCCCCATTCTTCATTATTATAAAGCAAGCTTTGGGACAAAGGACCAAGAGATTATGCTTAATAGGAAAATTATAATCATTCATTTAACATGTGTATTGAGCATTTACTTTGTGCTTGTTCTGAGGAACAGTTGGGACAAGAGAAGACCTGCTGTCACAGAGTTTATAGGCCAGGAGAATGCAGGCATTCACAGATTTTTAAAATCCTGTTTATAATGTATAGTATTACTAAAAAGGAGAGTATATACCAGGAGAGTATATACCACTAACTAAATCTAGTGGATTGTTAAAGACTCTTTGAAACCTGGAGGCTGAGGAGGAATTAGCGTGAAGCTGTCAGCGGTAAATTGCATTAGGTAAAAGGAGCAGGATTTCAGAGTCCACAAGGTATCGAGGAATTGGGCACTTTTGAAGAACAGAAAAAAGGACAATGAGGAAAGGGAAAAAGAGAAGTAACAGGAGTGGCATAAAATGAGTCTGGAGAGGAAAATGGAAACCAGATCATGTAGAGCCTTTAGTAAGCTGCATGTAAAGGATTTTGGATTTTATCCTAAGCTCCATGAGAAGCCATTTTGAAGGGTTTTGGTGGGGAATGGGGTCTGGTGGGCACAGTGGTACATGATGTATCAGATCTGCCTATTTTTTTAAGGCCTCCATGGACCTTATAAAACCATTGTAGATTTTAAAAAGAGGTTAATCCAAAAAAATGAAAATACCTGCCTACCCCATTCTTCTTTCACCTCACTAAATCCCAGCACTATTACGAATTGGTTTACTTCCTTTCGGATTTTTTTCCCCTAAGCATATACAAATATAAATAAAGATACACATGCATATGTGTGCATGTGCAGTTTTTTTTTGGTAACAGAAAGTGTGATTATACCATACATATACACCTAGTATAATACTATAAATGCTGTGTTGCAAGTTTTATGATTTTTTTTAGACTTTTTTCATGTCAGTTCTTAGAGTTTTCTTGTGTTTAAAGCTGTACGGTATTCCATTTTGTTGGGTGTGTGTTTTTTTTAGCCCTTTGTTGGTGAACCTTTGGCTTATTTATCATATCTTACTATTAAAAACAAAGCTGCATTTGTGAAAAGATGCTAACATTATTAGTCATTAGAGAAATGCAGGTTAAAACCACAGCAAGGGCCAGGTGCAGTGGCTCATACCTATAATCCTAGCACTTTGGGAGGCTGAGGCAGGAGGATTGCTTGAGACCAGGAGTTCAAAACCAGTCTAAGCAAGAGTGAGACCCCTCTCTACTAAAAAGTAGAAAAAAGATGAGTCTGACAACCAAAAATAGAAAAAAATTAGTCGGGCATGGTGGCGTGCACCTGTAGTCCCAGCTGCTCGGGAGGCTGAAGAAGGAGGATCACTTTTGTGCCCAGGAGTTTGAGGCTGCAGTGAGCTATGATGATGTCACTGCACTCTAGCCTGGGTGACAGAGGGAGACTATCTCAAAAAAAAAAAAAAAAGGCACAGTGAGATACATACACCACAACCCACTTTGTAGGATGCCTAAACTAAAAAGACTGAATGTTAACTATAGTAAGTGTATTGTTGAGACTGTGGATGAACCAGAACCTTCAAACGATAGGAATGTAAAATGGTACAACCACTTTGAAAAACAATTTGGCAGTTTCTTAAAAACTTAAACATACATCTACCATAATGATTCAGCCATTGCGCTTCTATTTATTTGCCAAAGAGAGAAGGAAATATGTGTATTGTGTATATACAAAGATTTATACACAGATGTTAATAGCAACTTTATAATAAGACAAAAACTGGAAACAACCCAAATGTCTGCCTACGGATAAATGGATAAACAAATTGTATATCCATACAGTTGAATATTAATTAACTCAACAATGAAAAGGAATGGACTTGATACAACAGCGTGAATAAATCCCAAAATAATTATGCTGAGTGAAAGAAAACAAATGAACAAAGTGCATACTATATGATTCCATTTATATAAAACTCTAGAAAAAACTAAAATGGCAGAAAGCAGATGAGTGTCTGGTTGAGTACAAGGTTAAGGGAGAGAGGGATTGATTACCAGGGAGCGTGAGGAACCTTGGGGGTGATAGATAGGATCTGTTGACTATTCTTGATTTTGTTTTCCCAGTTGTATACTATAAGAAACACATCAAATTATATACACTTTGAGTATGTTTAGTTTATTTATGTCATTTATACCTTAATGCTATCTTTAAAAAGCTGCACTGAGACACAATGAGCATGTAATTCTGTAAGATGAGTTGGTAGGAGTGTAATTACTAGGTCAAAAGTGGTTACACATTTAAAGTTTGCATAGATATTGACAAATTGCCCTCCAGAAAATATCTTGCCAGCTTATATATTTGAAAATGCCCATTTCTGTGCTATCTTTCCAACACTGGTAAATCAGTCGCTTTTCTTCCATCTTTACCAATGTGATAAGAATGACATTATTGTTGATTTTGTTTTCATCTCTTTTATTAGCGTGGTTGGTTATCTTGTGTTCATTGATTATTTTTATTTCTTCTGTGAATTGTCTTTGTCTTCTGTGAGATGCCTATGCTCATTTTCCTACTGGATTATTTTTTTCCTTTTAAATCATAGAAACTATTTATATAATACTTAACCCTGTGTTCCATGTAGTTATTCAGGGATGCTCAAAAATATTGGTTTAATGAATAAAAGAATTAATATTTTTCCATTTAGACTTTTAACTTTATTTATGGTGACTGTCCATGTCTGGTGAAACCTGCTGGTGGTTGCTTCAGTTAGCATTTCTCAGCTGGAAGCTATAATGGCACCAGGGAAGCCCTTTTGTATACTTCCTATTCACCTCTTCCTGAGTAGGTAACATGGGATTTTCATGTCTGTTTTGAATCCTTTGTTTTTAGGTGGGATGCAGCCCCATTTCCAGCCCCATTTCCATCTGTGGCCCACATTAGGAGCTTCCCCTCTTCACAGATCCTCCAGTTGACTTGAGTGAATTGCAGCTAGGGATTCTCCTCTAAGTTTAACTTTACAAGTGTATCCTTGGCCAACAGCTGTGACCACAAATTACAGCTGCTACTATCCCTTAATTGTGCTTCAGCTAACCCACAACCTACTCTCACCTTCAGCCCTTCATGTCTCTGGCATGCAATTTTGAAGGGCGTTCAGAAAATTGTCCTATTTACTTTTTAGGAGGATCCTCCCTTGCATGTGATGTACTGTGAGCTGCTCCATTCTGATCATTTTTACAATTCTACCTTGGTTTATATTCATAGTTTACTCCAAAGTTTCTACTTTCATGCTGTCATTTCTGATTTATAGCTGTGAAAATCAGTGTGCTTTTAGGGGAAGAAAGGAGAGCAAGAAGTAAATGTATGTGTTTAGGTTTCTCTTTTGAACCAGAAGTAGATTTGCATAAGAAATAATCTGACTTCTAGTAGGAAAGAAGATTGAAAGGGGGCAGGTGTGGGTACAACTAGGCCAGTAAACAAGAAGATTAACAATTATTTAAGTAAGAACAGTTTGACCATTTCTCATATGAAATAGTGCAAAATTTACGGTAATTTTTATACTTAAATAGTGTATTTTTGCTCTTACGCAAATATTTTCTCATGTCTTCATCACAGTTTTATAGATAAGAAACTGATGTTCAAGATGGGAATCAGCTGTAAATCACAGCGCTGGGTCCTCTGGTTTTATCCTGCTACCTCTAATTAAGAAAAGGGCTCAGATCTGTTGACTTTTCCGTGTGTGTGTGTGTGTGTGTGTGTATGTGTGTGTGTATGTATTAAGAGGCCTTAATGGTTTGGGATAAGGCCTCAGAGCTTTCTATGAGCTATAAGAACTTTTCAGAGCTTTAAAGTTAGTTACTGACATGATTACATTTCTGGGTACGTGAATGATTCTGGCAGGACTATGGACATTGAAATAGAAGGAGGGAGACTAGGGAGAAGAATAATGATAAATGGGATCCTGCAGCAATTTTAAGAAAAGGCAAAAGTCTTAGGAGTGTGTCAGAGCTATTTACATAATAGTACATACAGGGTTTAATAGATCATTAGGTTTTGCCCTGAGCACCTGCATATTTGTTGAGTAATATGGTTTCATTCACATAAACTTTATACTGTGTAGGTTCTCAGGGAAGCCTAAAGAAGCCTCAATTAAGCTGAGTTTGATATGGGATAATCTGTTAGTTTATTAGTATACTGTATATAAGTGGTGACAATAATGAAATAACTTGTCCTCTGCTTTAATCCATGTATCTTTTTTCTTCTTTCTTTGTAGTTGGAAGATGCTGGCTCAAGTAGTTTAGATAATCTACTAAGTAGATACATCTCAGGCAGTCACCTACCCCCACAGCCTACAAGCACCATGAATCCTTCCCCAGGACCCTCTGCCCTATCTCCGGGATCATCAGGTAAAGCAAACAGAGAGATTCCCTTATTTCCTTAACACTTAAAGTCTCTCTTGGTAGCTCTACTAGTGTCCTCTGGAAAAATAGAATCAATGGTAGGTATATATAGAGAGAGGGAGATGGAGAGATTTATGTTAAGGAATTGGCTCATGTGATTGTGGGTACTGGCAAGTCTGAAATCTGCAGAGCAGGTCAGCAGGCTAGAGACCCAGGAAGAGTTATGTTACAGCCTTGAGATGAGAGTCTGGAGGCAAAATTCTTTCTTGCGGCAGGGAAGGTGGCCATAGGACCCTCTGTTTTTTGTCTTAATGACTTCAACTGATTGTATGAGGCCTAACCAACATTATGGAGGATAATCTGCTTTGTTCAAAGTGTATTGGCTTAACTGTTAATTACATCCAAATATTAATAATATCTTCACAGTAATATTTAGACTGGTATTTGGCCAAACAGTGGGGTATCATATCCTAGCCAAGTTGACACATAAAATTAACCGTCATAGTAACAAATATTTGTTTTTGATTGTTCTTTGTAATTATTTTTATTCAAATACTATTAGCACTCTTTAGCTAACTGAAGTAATTTTAATATATATCTGTAGTCTGTGCTGTTCAGAACTCTAAAATACTCAACCCTTTGGTCACATTCTTTGCTGGGTTTGTAGGTACATTTATTTTTTGTATCTTATATTTTACAATATAGAAGGTCAGTTGAAGAGTTCTTGTGTTTCAACTTAACTTTAAAAGACTTTGTAAAATAATGAAAAATCGTTTTAAAAAACGAGTTGAGGAAGAGCAAGTTAATTTTCAAATTATAATTTTAAAATTAAAACAAATTTATAGGAATCTATTAGAATACCTGTGATGTATAGCTCTCTTCCAGAAACCCAGTTTTATTAACCCTGTTACCAGGTGAATCAATTGGGACTCTCATGAATATATGATTGAAGCAACTCCAAACAGGTTAACAGCCCAGAAGTGGTTATGAAATTTTTCTGATGTAAATTAAATGTTATTTTTTTCTTACCGAAACAGACCACCTTCTTATTTCTAGAGGAAGAACAGTTCAAATTTAAATGTGGATTTTGCAGTTTTTTGGGACGTAATAAGAATTATTTGAGGACTTCTGAAAGAATAATTAATGGGAATCCAAGTAGAATATTTTATCAGGTGACTTGGGGAGAGGTGGCAGATAGATTTCTCTTGATCTGGTAGTTTTTGTTGACTAGATAATAATTCTCTGAGGAAGATTCTGTGATGATGTCTGGGCTCAGATGAGATAAACTGGTCAACGTCATGCCAGCCCTGACTTTGCGACTAGGTCTGATTTCCAAGAATTTTAAAGTTGGGTTATAATAATCTTGAGTTCTCTAACCAGTGGGCAGAATTCCAGATATCCCTATATGTATTTATATACATTTTGACTTATTTTTTAGGTTTATCCAATTCTCACACACCTGTGAGACCCCCTAGCACCTCTAGTACTGGCAGTCGAGGCAGGTGAGTATTATGTTATTAATAACTATTTTTTCCTTTTTATTATGAAAAACTTCAAGTACATGTAATAAAAGTAGAATATTACACTAAACCCTCATATACTTACCACCTAGCTTTAACAATGAGCAAGTTATGACCAATTTTGTTTCTTCTATCTATTCATTTCCCTCCTGGTCTGGATTATTTTGAAACAAATCTCAGACATCATCTTATTTCCCTTGTGACTTTCAGTATATATCACTTAATAAGAATTTTAAAAATATATAACCACAGAACCATTATCACACCTAAAAAAAAATTAACAGCTCATTCTTTAATATCAGTATAGATCCAGTTAATGTTTAGAGTTCCCAATTTTGCCACAAATGCCTTTTTTTAAACAAATGATTTCTTTGAATCAGATTCACATAAGCTCCATAGATTGCCACCGATTGATATGTTTATATCAATTTATTTGTTGTAAAAATGTAGTTCTTTTTCCTATAGAGTTTCCCCTGTTTCTCCATCTTATCATTTAAATGTGCTGCCTCTGCTGGACATGGTGGCTGATACCTGTAATCCCAGTACTTTGGAAGGCCAAGACGGGAGGATCGCTTGAGGCCAGGAGTTCAAGACCAGCCTGGGCAACAGAGCAAGACCCTGTCTCTACTTTTAAAAAAAACAATATGTTGCCTCCTGTTTTTCATCTACATTAGTATTTAGATCAGGAGGTTCGATCAGATTCAGGTTTGATTTATGGGGAGGGAGGGCAAAAATACTTGATGGTGGTAATGTTTTACCCATCACGGGCACATTATGTCTGGTTGGGATTTTTTTGTAATGGCAACCATTAGTGATCATTGCTTAGCTCTTTTTTTTTTTTTAACTGGTTGAAAAATGATTTGAATTGTTGTCATTCCTTATTTATTAGCTTAGAATATTTCTATAAAGAAGTACTTTCTGTCATCAACTATTGGGTTATAGGAAAGGCAGGATAAATTGATTCTTTATTAGCCTGCTTTCATGGTAATGAATTGATTCTCAGCACCCTCCAACAGTGATCAATGAGCATTATTATTATTACCTTGATGAACTAAAGTATTTAAACATATCTTAGGCTTGGCACTATGGTTCACGCCTGTAATCCTACCACTTTGGAAGGCCAAGGCAGGAGGATCATTTGAGGCCAGGCTGGGCAACATAGCGAGAACCCATCTCTACAGAAAAATTTAAAAAATAAACCAGGTGTAGTGGTGCACACCTGTAGTCCCAGCTGCTTGGGAGGCTGAGGCCAGGGGTCTGAGGCTACAGTGAGCTGTGATGGCACCACTGCACTTCAGTCTTGGTGACAGAGCAAGACTCTGTGTCTCTAGGAAAAAAAGAAAAGGAAACTATATCTTATATATTTTAATCCTAATGATGCTCTTTTTTATTGATAGCTTAAATTATTCCATCTTTGGCCTGTCAAAAGCTTTTTCAGATGATGGGCTCGGTGGCTCACGCCTGTAATCCTAGCACTCTGGGAAGCTGAGGTGGGAGGATGGCTTGAGCTCAGGAGTTTGATATCCTGAACAAGAGTGGGACCCCTCTATAAAAAAAATAATAATAAAAAAAATAAAAGCGCCTTCGAGTTTGTTCCTTGGTCCTTTTGTTATAATCACAGTAGTCTTTGAAAGCTTCCTTTTTTCCTAGGAAACAATGCTCCAGGTTTATCTTGTACATTTTTTGCTTTGGACTTGCAATCAGCTGTTTTTCCAAGAAATTCTGGTTATGTTAGTAGGAAAATAGTGTTTAGAGATAACATACTAGGGGTACTTATTGCTACTGAATCATTCATTGTTTCTTAGGGCTTTTTGGTAGAGCTAAGAAATAGGAATGTTTGTGTCCCTCTATTTGTGTATATATGTGTGTTTTAAGATAGAATACTGATTTTTACTCTTCTCTAGTTTGAATAATTTAGTATATTGCAAGAAATATTTTATTTAAGATATTATATGAATGGTTTTTATTTGTATATATGTATGTGGATGCATTGTGAAAATTGGTCCTATTAAATACTTGCCTGGCTTTTTAATTATACTTTAAATAAATAATCAGTGCTTTTAGAAGAAAAGTACTAACTCAGTGAAAAAGTTGTTCATTCTCAATTGGCAATCCATTCTTACCAGTTATTCACTTCTCTTAACGGGGATTTTGCTTTGTGCTTATGATAGAACTAATTAGCCATTTCTGTTGTCTTCACTGTAGTGAACATTACTTTTTGTATAATTGTTTTTACTTACACCATACTGTTAAACATGTGCGACCTTTATTTGTTTTTATTAGCTGCGGGTCATCGGGAAGAACTGCTGAGAAGACAAGTCTTAGTTTCAAATCTGATCAAGTAAAGGTCAAGCAAGAACCTGGAACTGAAGATGAAATATGTAGTTTTTCAGGAGCTGTGAAACAAGAAAAGACAGAAGATGGCAGGAGAAGTGCTTGCATGGTAAGCTCCCACTGGGGTCTGACAGGGATTTAAAGAAGTCACTTCATTAATTCTTCCATCTTGAGTATATTAAGACCGAATAGTGTTTCTGGGGACATTTATTTATCTTCGAATAGCCAAATATCTCTTTTTCTAACTCAACGTTTTGTCTAAGAGTCAGCTATAATTAATCAGAAAAGATGTAATTGTTTTAAATACTCATTTGAAATTATCTTTGAATTTGCATTTTGTCAATATTTTTGCCATGATACTAAATTGGGTGCTATCTTTTTCTGAAATTATTAATCTCAGTAGTTACATTGAATCTCAGGCCACGGAAGATCCTAGGCATTGTCCTGGACCTGTGAACTTAGCATTAAGATTGCTGACCTAAAAGTTTATTGATGAAAGAGTTTTATGATGGGAAGATTGTCTTTGGCTTATGAGTTATTAACCATTCTAGAGTTCCTCAGATGGAACATTTTATAAAATTTATAATATAAGAATGAAGGAAGGCCCAAGCCCCTCTTCATTTTTCCTCACTGCCTAGGCTTTTGTTTTTCTCACTTTCTGCATGATTGGCACATAGGAATTTCATTGCATGGTATTAGTATATTCAACGCAGTGTATATAGATTTAGAGAGCAAGAGATTTAGCTTTGGGTTTGGAGCAGTGTTACCTCTTCATCCAGAACTGGTTTGGAAAATACTTCCATTAAAAATAGGTGCAAAGGGTGGTGAAAGATTTCTTTTACATTGTCACAATCTTCCTACAATAGTAGAATGTTAGGTGGGTAGAAGAACATTATAGAATGTTTCTCAGATGCTGCGCAAAATATTCTGGCGTGAAAAATGTGTGCCTTAATTAGCTGTCTGTCGGAAAAATATAACCCTATGCTCACTCCCCAATCAGTGTGCTTAACAGTTTAATTAATTTCCTGTTAATCTGAGTGAACCAATATTAGAGGGATAGAACCCTTAAAATCATACATCTGCATGCCTGAATAATTTTGGAGTTATTGTCATTTCTTTATGTCCCTTGTGTGATTCATAAAATAATTTTAAGTCAGTATATCTATACACATATTGGTATAACTTTTAAATACACTGCATGCAGAAAGGATTAAATGATTCTTCAAGAATTTGTCATTGTTTTGTTTTAGTTGAGCAGTCCTGAGAGTAGCTTGACACCACCCCTCTCAACTAACCTGCATCTAGAGAGTGAGTTGGATGCATTAGCAAGCCTGGAAAACCATGTGAAAACTGAACCAACAGATATGAATGAAAGCTGCAAACAGTCAGGGCTCAGCAGCCTTGTTAATGGAAAGTCCCCAATTCGAAGCCTCATGCACAGGTCAGCAAGGATTGGAGGAGATGGCAACAGCAAAGATGATGACCCAAATGAAGACTGGTGTGCTGTCTGCCAAAACGGAGGGGATCTCTTGTGCTGTGAAAAATGTCCAAAGGTCTTTCATCTAACTTGTCACGTTCCAACACTTCTTAGCTTTCCAAGGTACCAGTGAAGTAATTGATTTTGTTATTTTTGTTTATTTTCACAAGCTGAAAAAAAAGTAGCAGAAAGTTGTTTTCAGGGCAGATGGCCTTCTAACCAGTGCGTAGTATTTCTAGAAAACAGGGAGCCTTTTATTCCTTTGGTATTATGTTCCAGAGAAAAAAGAATAATAGAATGTCCAAGATCTAAGCGGTATGTTTATATTCAGTGTAAGCAAATTAGATAAAATTCTAAATTAAGAGGGGCAAAGATAATTGGTGTGTTGGAGAAAATCTCTTTCCTCTTGGAAGGTGAATTTTTAGTCTATTGCCATCATTCTTAATAGGGTATATAGTAATAATTTTATTTATGAATGCCATTCAATTTGAGGAGGATTTATTGGATCATACCCAAAACTTTTCTAATGTTTGAGAACTTTCAAAAGACATTTTAAAAGAAAAAACAAATCATCTGTAAAAACACCTTTGATGTCTTGGAATTTTTTATGGGGGGAGGGATAAGTTTCCTCTTGGCCAGAGGAAGTGGTTAATTTGTAGTGCTTGCCTGAAGTGCTCACACTGTGTGCAGATTTCTCAGATTTTTCCTGTGATCAGCTAGCAGAAATGCCTTTCGGACATCAGCTTTTGGAATGGACAGTTATTGAATTCCTTGTAGAGGAGAAGAACTTAGGGTAAAGATAAATAAAAAAGAGATAGGGGGAGAATATGAGCTTTGTCCTCAAAGTGATATACCCCATGACTGCTAAATGTGGTTTGAACCATTAAAACATTCATTGGTGGGCACCCAAGGCAAACTGATGATATCAGAGCTAATAAGTGGAACAAATGTGTGGGGCTAGGTTACAAAACCTGTAGCCTAGTTGTCATTCTGCAGTGAGATTGGGCAGTTCACTGATTTTCGGGAATCCATTTCTGTAACTACAAATGGTGGGGTTTGGTTTAAGAAGTGCTCTAGTTTTTTCCTTCCAATTAACAATTTTATATTTTATGTTCATGCAATCTCTTATCTCTGACTGATTACAGAGACCACAAAATAGAGTCTTACTTATTTCTTTCAATCTTCCCCTTTCTTCCTTAACCCCCAGTTTCCTTTTAAATGAAAGTAAACCAGCATTCTCTAGGAGGGAACCCAGCTTTTTTCTTGCTATAGATAAAAAAAAAAAAGTTCATATTTCCTCTCCAATTCCTGAGTGGCAGTGATTTTAATTGAATAATGCTACTCTCTTTGAAAGATTCAACCTTTTGGATTAGAAAACTGGTAGATATATAAACAATGTTTTTCTGAAGAATTGTGATTCTCACCTAAATCTTAGGAGGTATAGTTATTTGTCAGAGATGTAATAAGGACCTTCTTTACTCTTTCAGAAAAGAAAAGCACTGGCACTTTGGCCTTGAAATTAAGGCTTTTCATGTTTTTCTTTCCTTTAGGTAGTAATATCTACTAGAATGTCAGGATTTTGCCACTGAATGCTTTCTTTCAAAAGCAGATGCTTTGGAAGTTATTGTAAACTGTTGACACAAATACATACATTAGTACAATCCCTAGATTTAGGATTTACGTATCTATTTTTATATCTGTATATATCTCTGTATATCTCTGCGTCTATTTATATAGAGTGAGCATACAAATATGAATAAATCATTTTAGAATTTATAGTTATATAGAAATCCTGATACAAAGTATACACTTAGCAGAGTTAAGAGATAAGGGTTATATGTACATATGCTTTACTTGCAGGTATGTGTGTATGTGTGTATTCTAGTTTTTGACTGGCCATGAAAAAAGAATTGATTTGCAAGATACCTGACAAACTCCATAACCTCTGCTGTTCTTATTCATGAATATTGGGTCCATGTAATCGTAATACTGAAGCCTGAGAGAGTTGGTCTTAGGCCTTGTGCTGCAAGTACTGATCATCAACTTTGTGCTGTGAAGAAACTCCTTGTGAATGCAGCAGTGTCATTTTTATAATGCTTTCCAGAAAGTAATCAATTGAAGGAAGACTGGGAAAAGTTTTGGGGAGTTTTTTGAATTTTTTTTTTTTTGTTTGTTTTTCATGGATTTTTTTGGTGTTTTGTTGTTGTTGTTTTGAGACAGGATCTCACTTTGTTGCCTGGGCTAGAGTGCAGTGGCATCATGAGAGCCCACTGTAACTTCAGACTGCTGGGCTCAAGTGATCCTCCTGCCTCAGCCTCCGGAATAGCTGGGACTACAGCATGTGCCACCATGCCGGGCTAAGTTTTCTGTGTTTTGTAGAGACAAGGTCTCACTGTGTTGCTCAGGCTGATCTGAAAATCCTGGCCTCAAGCGATCCTCCCACCTCAGCCTCCCAAAATGCTGGGATTACAGATGTGAGCCACTGCCCCTGGCCTTTGGGAAGTTTTTAATCACACACCTTCACCTTATGAGATTTGACAAGTATAGAACCTCCCTTTTCCCAAAAACTTATAAAATAAACAAACAAGAGTCTCATATCTAGGAAACTAGCTTCTCTAGAGCAGGCTTTGTTGTAATTACACAGACTAATTGCCTATTTCCCTGTTTAGTGGGGACTGGATATGCACATTTTGTAGAGATATTGGGAAGCCAGAAGTTGAATACGATTGTGATAATTTGCAACATAGTAAGAAGGGGAAAACTGCACAGGGATTAAGCCCCGTGGACCAAAGGGTAAGTGTCAAATAAATTGATTTGTTATTAAGGATTCTGTAGGTGTCTGCCTATATACATCTTTTTTTCCCTGTGTATTATACACATAACTTGGTATTAGGTTGGTGCAAAAGTAATTGTGGTTTTTGGACTGTGAATTTTAAATCATTATAACTAGGCTCAAACACATTTTTATTAATCAAAATAGGAACAATTACAATCAACACATTTTGCCAATAAGAAATAGGCTTGTTTATTCCTGTAGCGTAAAAATCCATGCTTCAGGTTTCAGTGAACTCTTGGAAAGCATTTTCTGTATGCTGCTTGTTGCAGAAGTGTTTTTCTCGCAAAAGGTTTTCGAGATGCTTGAAGAAGTGGTAGTCAGTTGGCAAGAGGTCAAGTGAATATGGTGGACGAGACAAAACTTCGTAGCCCGATTTGTTCAACTTTTGAAGTGTTGGTTGTGCTACTTGTGGTCAGGCATTGTCGGAGAAGAATTGAGCCCTTTCTGTTGACCAGTGCTGGCTGCAGGTGCTGCAGTTTTTGGTGCATCTCATTGATTTGCTGAGCATACTTCTCAGATGTAATGGTTTTGCCGGGATTCAGAAAGCTGTTGTAGTGGATCAGACTGGCAGCAGACCCCAAACAGTGACAATAACCTTTTTTTGGTGCAACTTTGGCTTTGGGAAGTGCTTTGGAGCTGCTTCTTGGTCCAACCACTCATCCTGGTTGTCGTATAAAATCCACTTTTCATCATACATCACAATTTGATCTAGAAATGGTTTGTTGTTGTATACAAGAAGAGAAGACGACACTTCAAAACGATGAATTTTTTTTTTTATTTTTGGTCGGCTCCTGAGGCACCCCCCATTTATCGAGTTTTTTTTACCTAATTTGCCTCAAATGCCGAGTGACCATAAAATGGTCAACGTTGAGCTCTTCAGCAACTTCTCATGTAGTTATATGAGGATCAGCTTCTACGATTGCTCTCAATTAGTCGTTGTCAACTTCCCATGGCTGGCCACTGTACTTCTCATCTTCAAGGCTCTCTCTCCTTTGCCACATTTCTTGACCCACCACTGCACAGTACATTTGTTTGCAGTTCCTCGGCCAAATGCATTGTTGATGTTGGGAGTTGTCGCCGTAGCTTTACGACCCATTTTGAACTCTAATAAGAAAATCGCTCAAATTTGCTTTTTGTCTAACATCTTTTCCATAGTCTAAAATAAATACAAAATAAACAGCAACTGATAAGTTATTAGCAAAAGAAATAAAGTGAGAAATGCGCATTAAAATGACATACAACATAACCACATTTATTTAAGAACGTATTCCAACATCAAATGGCAAATTTCAACAATGCTGAAACCGCACTTACTTTTGCACCAGCCTGTACATTTTTATTTTTTAATCTTGTCATCTGATGATATATTGAAGGCATATTGATGACTTCTGAAATCTTTCTAACCCTGAACTACAGACTCTTCTTTTCGGCTTAACATGTCCTAACCAAAACTTTGATTTCTAATCCTCTCCCTCAAAAAACAAAACAAACAAACAAAAAAAATCAAGCAAATAACAACATAAAAAACTGTCCTTCTCCCCCAGTATTCCCCTTCATTGGATGGCACCATTCATTGCTGTTGCTCAGGATAGAAACCTATTAGAAATGAAAGAATCAAGAATGACTGTAATCCCATTTAATTACTTCCCCCCACCATTACCACCCTAGGTAACTATCACAATTTCTCATCTGGACTATTGTAATAATCTCTTAACTGGTCTTTCTGCTTCTCCTCTTGCCCCTCACAGTCCATTTTCTGTACTGAACTGAGTATTCTGTTTTAAAAAGGTGTGTATCACTTCCTTGCCTAGAATCCTCTAATAGCATTCCATCATGTTAAAAATGAAATTTAAAATCCTCTCCTCACTCAGATTTCTACTGATCTGATCTGTAGTCTGTGATGTCCAAAGACAAAATATCTTTACATCATTCTATGGTCTTTAGAGTTAAGTTTCTCTCTAATCTGGTGTATGTATTTGCAAAATCCTGTGTCTACTGTCTATGAAGAGAAGGTATGTGTTTAGGGTGTACAAGCTTATATTAAAAGAAATTTAAATATATAGAAAACTATGAATATAAAATACACTTCAGTTTACTCCTGATTGTGTAAAAAAAAAAAAGAATTCTGGAATTGTATTGAGTAGATAGTTTTTATTTATCTTGAACCTGAGTGGGGTCATTTGAAGCAAGGGGATAATAACATTTGTCTTGCCTGCCTCAGGAAATTACAATGAGGAACAACAGTGATTATTTATTTATTACCAGGTAATCTATAATTTTTTGCACCGAGTGCTATATGTTGCTCTTGTGACTCCCTTCCATTTGTATAAATAATCAAGAATTAATAGATATGTTACCTTAGTTATCTTATTAGAATAAAGGCATTCTTATCTATTTAAAGTAGAGCAGAAGATAGTCTCAAAACTAAATGGGAAGTAAGGCAGTTTTCTTTGTGTGTGTATATATTTAGTTGAATAGCTAGTAAGTAGGAGGCTTATGTTCAATTTGTTACAGTCATATTTTGTAGTGATATAGTTCTCATTCTCAAGAATATCTTAGGAGAAAAATATTTCACATGTTTTCCTTTCCTTGTTCGGGCCAGAAATGTGAACGTCTTCTGCTTTACCTCTATTGCCATGAATTAAGTATTGAATTCCAGGAGCCTGTTCCTGCTTCGGTGAGTTGCCAACCTTAGTACCTCCCTGATGAAGAGGTCTCATATAATACTTAAGAGTATGGTCTCTGGCCTTAGATTGCTTGTATTATTAAATAAGAAATGTCCAATTTTGAATCCAAAGTGTAGTTTATTATTAATATATCTCAAACAAGAAGTAGTACAATTAATCAAAGCAATGAGCCTAAACTGTCAACACAGTTTTGCCATCTTAATGGTAGCTCGTTTATGCCAGCAGTGAAGAAGCCTGGAGGGTGAGTGGCGATGAAAGGCATTTTCCACAGCTTGTTGAGAACTGAGTATTTTTCCTTGCACGAAGTGTTCCAAAGCCTAGACAATCTGGTAGTCAGTTGGTGCAAGGTCTGGTGAATACAGTGGATGATAGAGAGTTTCCAAGTGCAGCTGCTGTAGTTTGTGCAACATGTGGTTGAGCATTGTCTTGCAAGAGGATTGGCCTGTATTGACCAATCTCAGCTGCTTAATCACAAGCATCCTCATCATTTCATCCAACTGGTTGCAGTAGACATCCACTATAATCAATTGACCAGGTTTCCTGAAGCTGTAGTGGACCACCAAACAGACACCATTAGCTTTTTTTGATTAATAGTTGGTTTTAGACTGTGTTTTGGCATTTCATCTTTATCCAGCCATTGTGCCGAATGCTTGAAATTGTCAAAAAGAATCCATTTTTCATCATATGTAACAATACAGTGTAGAAATGGTTTGCCTTTATGTTGTGACAGCAAAGAAAGGCAAGCTTTGAGATAATTTCTCTTCTGACACTCATTTAATTCATGTGGTACCCCTCTATCCAGCTTCTTTACCTTGCTGATTTGTTTCAAATGGTGCAATATAGTTGGAATAGTAGTGTCAAACCTTGCTGCTAATTCACACATAGGTTGAGATGGATTTGCTTCCACTACAGCTTTCACACTCACAATGAGCTTTCAGCTCATCATTATCCACCTTGGTCTTAGGTTGCCCACCTGGCTCATTTTCAAGACTGAGATCACCAGAACAGAACTTCTCAAACCATCAATAACACAGTGTGCGTTCATTAGTCACATCCTTCCCAAACACTTCGTTGATATTTCAAGTTGTTTGTGTTGCATTGGTTCCCTGACAGAAATCATATTCATAAATAACATGAATTTTTGACTTATCCATGGATTCACAAAACCTGCTCTAAAAAAATTAAAAAGATAATCACAAGCCAAAACATGCATTTGAAAGACTGAGGATGTACCTTCACTATAAAAATAAGAAGTGTCAAAGTGAAATGTCAGAGACATCAACTGTCAAACTTAGTACTTAAGGAAATCATTTCATACTTAATAACCTAATATAACTCAAGCTTCTTGAATAAGCTCCTCAGCCTAAGACTCAGGTTTCTTTTCTGATACTGTTTCTTACCTCATTGAGATGTTCTGAGGATTATATAAAATAACCTATGTGAAGTGTTTAGCAGTCTGTAGTCATAGACTTTTGTAAGAAATAAAGGCTCTGAAATACTATGGTAAAAGGAAGACAAGAGGTGTTCAATGCCTAATAAGTGTGCTAAGATTTGCTAGCCATCAGTTGTTGAATGATAACATTATTGCATACAAGGCCTATTATAGAATATTAAATGGTAGTTGACTTGTTTACTGGATAGACTAAGAAATGAATTTTAAAACACGAAAGGTCTAGACCTGAGGAAAGATGTCTTGTACAAGTAGTGATCATCTGATTCTAGAAAGTCTGCCTCCAGGTTGAGAGACTTCACAGTAGAAAATCATGTGCAAATATTTTCTTTTCGTTGACAATTTAAATAGCTTCTCTATCTTCACTTATATCTCAAGGGTAGAAATTTTGGCTGAAGAGGGGGCCAGAATTCCCTAGCATGATTACTAAATCGTTAATAGATTTTTCTTATGATGGCCATCTTTATTCCTCTGTTGCTAAGTTGTGACTTCTCTATGATATAAAAAGACATTCTCTCTGATGTCTTTCAGAAGACATAGTCTTTATCTTTTTTTTCTTTTTTTTTTTTTTTAAGAGACAGGGCCTCACTATGTGGCCCTCGTTGGGGTGCGTTGGCTAATTACAGGTACATTCACACCTCAGTGGAGCCTGGAACTCCTGGGCTCAAGCAGTCCTCCACCTCAGCTTCCCGAGTACCTGGGACTACAGACGTGCACCATTGCACCAGGCTGAGACATCCTATTCTAACCATAACCTTAATACATTTTATACACTTTCTTTTTTCTTTTCCTTTTAAAAATAAAACTCTTCAGGAATCATAAAATTCTGATGAGCCAAATGGCCTTAAGGCTCTCACTGATTGCTTTCTTTCCAAATCTAATTATTTAAAGGTAGGGCTTTGGAGACTTTCACCAACCATAGAGACTGGCACATATTCTGCATAAGATTTGGTTTTCATGATATGATTGGAAGATTTAAAGTATAATCACTGTACCCAAAATTTGCAAGTAGCTGGCTCAATAATGAACATGTTTTTTTCTAAAATTAATATGTTAATACATTTCCAAATTAAACTTTTTGGTATTTTTGTAGAATTCTTATCTACCCTTATTTATTTGCTTATTTTAGATACCAAACTACTATAAAATTATAAAGAAACCAATGGATTTATCCACCGTGAAAAAGAAGCTTCAGAAAAAACATTCCCAACACTACCAAATCCCAGATGACTTTGTGGCTGATGTCCGTTTGATCTTCAAGAACTGTGAAAGGTTTAATGAGGTATGTTAGCTTCCAATCTATAGAGTCTTGGTTTGTTAGTTTTTGTTGGCTTGTTTTTTTCCCTGCTGAAAGAGTTTTCTAATTTGATTAAAAATTTTTTCTGCTAAAGTCCTGTCAAAAGTAAAATCTAATTGTATTCACAGCTCCAACAAAGAAAGTTTACATGTATAATTTGGTGTATACACTTAAATATAGTAAAATTAATATTTTTGAGTATCCCTTCCTAAATGAGTTGAGGGTTGGAATAAGTATGGAAAATACTCTGTAGTTCAGTATGTTTTGTGGGTAATGATAAACAGCCTGAATTTGGGGTACATTGAGGAAAGGTATCTGTACCCTTTTCATTGGATTTTATTATTTACCACATAAATATAGAACCTTAAAATCATAAACTAAACTCTGAATATTATCTTATCTTGACTAGTAGCCCAGAGTGTATAATACAGTTTTCTAATTTCACCTATGTGACTTTCATTAACTTTTGGTTATATATTTTTTTTGAGTGTAAGGTTGAGCAATCCATACCTTGGGAAGAAATGTGGTATATACCTCTTTCAAGGAAATTATTTTTGTTATCTTTGGGACAAAGTCAAGTCTGTTATTGTTATGGAAGGTTTTCATTATAGGAGAAGAAAATAGAATTTAAGGAGAATTCACAGTTTTGAAAAGATTAATACTCTAATCTCTTCTGTATTGCTGATACAATTTGGGTGCCATATGACTATTACTAAAATAAATTACATCAAATCCTTTAAAGTGTACCCATCTATAGCTACCTCTGGAAGCATCCGGGTGGCATTTTAGAATTAAAAACAAAACAAAAAAATCCTCGTAAGGTGAAAATTCTAGGTCACCTTTATAGCAATATGATACAGAGAAAATTAGTAAAATCTCACTAATTTGAAGTTAAATTTAAAAGAACAGTTCCACATTTTATCTTATTTTTTAATGCAGTTAGATTATTTTCAAATAAATATGCTTTCATGAACTATAGTTGATAAGAGGACAACCCTGCTTTAGTAATAGTTAAATAATTTATAACTAACATTGCCATACAGATAGAATTCCAATTAAGTGGTTTGTTGAAAGTTTGATAATTTTTTAAAGCAACATTTGTTACATTATTTGCCTTACAAAATTTTTCTCTTGAATAGATTGATGTATTCAGACCAGTTCCTATTCAGATCGACCTCAATAATTTGAAATGAGACAATTACTGAGGTTTCACAGTAGCTTTAGTAACAGAGCTTTGTAAAGAAAATGGTTCCGTGTTCTGTAGAATTTTAGAAAGCACTTAATCTGGTTATAGCAATTTGTTCTCCCTAGTATGGCTGACTTTCGTCGCCAATCCTGTGCAGTCTCATAACTTTAGAAAGGATTATAATTTCCCTTTTTTTTTTTTTGACTCTGGTATCCTTTTTAGATGATGAAAGTTGTTCAAGTTTATGCAGACACACAAGAGATTAATTTGAAGGTAAGCTTTTCAGACCATGCAAACTTGGTGAAGGAATATGCATTACCAATAGGTGAATATTCCTATCTTTTGCTTGCAGGCTGATTCAGAAGTAGCTCAGGCAGGGAAAGCAGTTGCATTGTACTTTGAAGATAAACTCACAGAGATCTACTCAGACAGGACCTTCGCACCTTTGCCAGAGTTTGAGCAGGAAGAGGATGATGGTGAGGTAACTGAGGACTCTGATGAAGACTTTATACAGCCCCGCAGAAAACGCCTAAAGTCAGATGAGAGACCAGTACATATAAAGTAAAATGACATGAATTTAAATCAATTGTTTAAAAAAAAAATGAAAAAGAAAAGGAAAAAAACAGAAAACTTTTATTTAAGTGTTGCTGGAATATCCTGCCTACAGTGGGCACCTCCTTGAAGAAGCTGAGATAGCTTTTACACAGTATTAGATTGAAATAATGGACAGAAAACATATTCTTGTCAAGAAAGGGGAGAGAACTCTATTTGCAACTTTAAAGTAAAAACTAAAAGCAAAAGTGAAATGATGCGAGGATTTCTGTTACTAATGAGGATGGTTCTTTGTTCAAAATGGCAAATGTTGATCATGTAGTATTGATTGGTGCAGGATACTGGATGTATAAGTAAATACTTGAGGCTCATGTTGCTTGAAAAATTGTCTTTTTGGACTAGGTCGCACAGTTATTGAAAATTTTTAAGCCTCCCCCTCCACATACATACATACTGGGTTGTTTTCTAGTTAAAGATACTTCAGAGTAGCTCAGATTCCACTTTAATGTCAGTGCAGATGTGCATTGAATCATGCCCTTATATTTTTTCTCATTTTAATGCTGTTGGTCTTAGTTTTTAAATTCATTTAAAGAATTCAACAGTAGTTTTATTTTCTACTCATACTTAGGGTCTAGGAAACATGACCACTGGCCGTGATTTAATCAGCTTCAGTGATCTACTGAAATAAAAATGGTAACTTTTCAATAGTGGATCATGTAGAGTTATAGTAGTCATTTCCAGAAAACACTTCCACACAATTGCACTTCCCAATTAAATCATCTGATCATACAGTTATTCCCGTGAAAGGCAGAATGTTTGTTTCAAAATTAATCTAGTTTTCTGTACGTTTAAATTTGAGAAGGTGACAACTGGCTCTTATCCAGTCTTCCTTCATATCAGTTTTCTGATAGACCACTATTGGCAAACAGTTATCTGTCAACTACCAAATGTGTAAAATTTTCTGTATTTCACTTTGTCTTATTTGTAAATAGTGAACTAAAACTTCTGGCAGATCAGCAACATTTGCTGAGCCTGTTTTTTAAGCTAATGTGTATTCTTACTAATGTTCCTATCAAGAATGGATTTGTAATATATGCTGTCTATTTCTAATGTTCACATTCATATTTTGAGGTTCTATCTTATTTTAATAGAGAACAGACTTCTCAAAAAATCTTCAGAAGCAGCTTATTATTGAAATATCAAAATATTGAAATAAACCCGGTGGGGTTAGGTTACTCATCCGTCCACCAAGTGGGACATATGCATGGACTGGGGGCTTTAAGGAGTTAGAAGAGACCTGTAAGTAAATCCTGACAATGAGCCAATCCCCACTTGAATGGTTACTGGAATAAACCCACCTTTACTGCCCTGATTACAGCACCCGAGGATGAACCAACTTGGCTCCGGTTCATTTTTCTTCTCTTCGTTTGTGATGCTCAAATTTAAGATACACGTTCTAGACTATGTACAGGCTTCTCTTTTGTTGGGTTAAAAATCTTAGTCCTACTTTTGTATGGACACATTAGAATATAAAGAGACCAAACTAGATGAATTTGCCATTAGATATTTTTCAGACGTCAGCAGATTTGTGGTAAATCATTTGTCTTTTTAAAAATTCAGTTTAATCATTTCAGACAGTAAACTACTCAGAAAATTATTTGACATAATTGTCTAAGAGGTAAATATTTTTTAGTGCATATTGAATCAAATAAAGTGCTCTAAAGAAATAATTATACAGATTCCTTTGGGTTGTTTTTCTTTTCTTAACAAGGGGTGGTGGGTAAACAAATACGATTCAGGCCTTCTGATTATGTATTTAAACAGTATTGATTTTATTACTGCTATTGACTGCCTTTATTCCCTGGCTTCCTTTTAACTTCTCTCTCAGTTTTGTTATAAGTTAAGCTTTTAAAAATATACCAAACTATTAAATTACTTAATTCAAATTTCAATTCCTAAGAAAGTTTTTTAATAAGAGGGAGAAAATAATTTTAAAATACTTTTACCTATGCCTATTTCCCGTTTTTCTACTACATCCATGGTTTCAATTTATAAGTAGACATATATCTAAGGGAACATTTTTGGAAAGTGAGGAGTAGCGGTATAACTTTGTTTTATCGAGCCTCTGAGTTCTAATATTTTATATTTGCTCTTCATATGAATCCTTTTTTAAAAAAATCTTAGGTAATAAGTCATAAATAGGTTCTGCCAGCTAGGGGGAGAAACAAATCTTAAGTAAATATTTCTCAATATTTGGGGCCTTAAGAGATAATGTATTTCCTTAAAAACATTTCCATGTTAGGTAGAGTTTTGGGCTTTTGTTTGTTTTATTTTAAGGTTGGTTAAAGTAATCAATTTAAAAACCACTTTATTGTCAATATTTAATAGGCTCCATTTCTGTTAATACAAAATAGTTCATACTGCTGAGGAATTACTAATAATACCTATCAATAAACCACCATTGAGTAAAGGTATTCACTTTAGATTTCATTAAAGCTTTTTTTCTTGCACACTTATCATTGTGTTTCTAAGTTGATTTGTTCAGCCCTAAGATGACTATAGTTAAAATGTTTGAAGATTTAAATTGATATTCAGATATCTAATAATGTTTTCCTATTAATTTATGTTTCAAAAAGACAAACATTGAATATCTATCAATCCCTGAAGATAGCTTGATACTCTCTTACATTTATATTCTTTGTTTAAAAGGCAGTAAATATTTTAGATTTGGAGGAATGTCCACATAATAATGTTTTCTTGAAAGCTTTTAAAGTTTTTGCCATGCTTCAGTTTGCTTCTCCCATCAGAAAACTAAGAACAAAGTGTTCCTCGATCTATTCTGCTGACCTAAATTTGTGCTTTTAGCACTTGACTCAGCTGATTCACTGAATGAAAAAATTGCCTTACTAGGTGAAGCATGTGAAAGGTCCAAAGTATGGTTAGATTGTAGGTCATGCTCTATATAGAAATATCAAACCATTACTACAGAGAAATGATAGAGCATTGGATCCACTGTTGAAATTATTCTTTTTGGAATCAACAAATTGATCCTTTCTGATTTTATTTCTTACGTGAGGGAATTTTAGATAATTTTAAGTCTCACTTTTTATCAAAACAAGTTTCGAGATTTTTAGTTACTCCAAATAAATGCTTTTAAATAGAAGTAAAAGGTTTATAGTGTGCAAATTTTAGATATATCAATTACCTCAGCAGGTATCCTGCCATGTAATTATTAGTGATAAGCCAATAGATTCAGGTCTTCCAACTATGCCCTTGGATTATGGTCTACCATATGTGATTAAATGGTCTCTTACTCTCCAAAATGGGAGTAGACACTGTGGCTCCCTCTCCCTTGGCCTTTACATCCTGTGTCCATCCCTGTTCACATACAACATGTGAAATATAAAAATCTCATTTGTTATCAAAGTCAGCACTGCTTATTTGCATACTCAGCATTGGATCAGTGAGTAGTTTTATAAAAACCCATGCTCCCAAATCCCTTAATTAAAGCAATCAAATTCTTAATTCATACTATGAATTCTTAATTTATGCCATCCATATTAATGATCTGCTGAACATGATTTGATATTTTCAAGTTGTATTACAGTTTGACCACGTACCAGACCTGGATGTTTCCTTTAAGTTTTTTCTCACAGTTATCTCCTCCTTGATAAAGCAATAACACTGCTTTAAGTCTGTTGCCTAATAGCATGTCAGAATCCTCTCCTGGATGGTGATTTTATAGAAAAGTTTGTATGCATATCACCCAGTCTATCTTTTAAAAATTAAGAAATTTAAAAGTATGCTGGAGGTAATGACAATATATTGTGGCATTTTATTTTAAAAATTGGGGAAAGTTGCATATTTTTTTAAAAGTAGGTGTTTGAGTAAAAAAAAATAATGGAAGGTACTTTTTTAAGGAAAAAAATTTATATGCCACAGTTTACATAGACATTTCAGATTTCAGCGTGTACTCTTGAATATAATGGTTTCTTTTACTTGGTCAAAATGCATGTATAGCATTTCTTTCATTTGAGTTCCTTGTGTTTGCCTGTGTGGTCCTTTATATTTTTTATTGTATCTGAGAAACAAAATTATCTTCAGAAATAAATTTATTTGGATATATTTATCATATCAAACTACAGAATGTACAAAATTAAGTTTAGCCCTTTTACAGCCAGCGATCTTTGAAAACTAAAAATGCTATTCTTTTAAATTCACCAAATTTATATGTGGGAAGGCACTGAAATGATTTTGTAAGTGCCACTGGCAATATTCCCTTTCAAGTGTGGCCTAAATTTCAAACTTAAGGATGGAATGCATGTCTGCTCCTGGTCTGAAAAATGTAGGCATTTACTATGTTTTAAAACACAGTGAAACATGTACATAAGCCTATAAAAAAGATTTGTGCAATTTGAAAGCCTGTTAATTTTTTATGTAGACGTACCTACACACGAAAGGGTTAAATTCACAGCCTTACTAGTTCCCCAGTATTTCAATTGGTCTCCCCCCATTACTATTATTACTACTACTACTACTATTATTTTTGCACATAGTTAACTACCCTCAATATTGATTCTTAAAGAAAAAATGCTGTTTCTGTGGTATTGTATTCTCTAAATAATCATATTTAATTTTTTTAAACAAGGTTGCAGTTTCTAATTGTTCCGTTCCTGTGTTTTTGCTGGTGTGTAATAAAAGCAAGTTTTTTCTTTTCATGGTTATTTAATACATTAGCTGCCTGTAAATAATTCTTGTTATAATGCTCTGGAATGTGTTGTAGAAGTTGTATTAGATTAGTTTAAACCCTTGTTTGAAAACCACATTGTTTATTTCTATTAAATTAGAAAATTGAAAAAGTTTTCAAATGAATTTCTTTTTTTTCCTCCTCTGTGAGATGAGACGATTTTAATTCATTAAAAAAATTTATGCTGTGTGCCAGGCACCAGATACAGTAGTGAATAAGATAAAATCTAGTCCTTGCCTTCTCAATGTTTAGACTCTATGTTAGAATAATGAGTGTTATGATAGGGATTAAACTGTTGTCAGG